AAAATAAATAATATTATATATATTTTATAATAATAAAATTATATATTTTTATAAAATATTTTACAAAAAAATGTATTATTATACATATTATATTAAATTTTATAATAATACATATTTAATAAAACAATTTATAGAAGTATCGCGGAATTGTATATTATACTTTTTCTAATAACAGAAGTCATTGCAGTCCTCTGGTTCTCTTCTACAGAAAATTTTGAATAATAATTGTCATTTTAATGAAGTTTTTATTCAAGCCGATATACTGTTTCTTCTGTTGTAATGTGAGAAAAGTTAAGAAAGGACTCGAAAATGTTATAATTTTGGTGAATATTCTTAAACTTTAACTTCATTTTTTACATTTTTTATACTTTCCATTTTTCTGTCATTTATAAAATCTTTAGCAAATCATCCATTTTATACGCATTATTTTTAACGCGATTATCTTGATAACAATAAACGAGATAATCGAGATATTCCTGTATATGAATTTTTTTCCTATTTTTAAAAATAAAACAAATAAATGATAAATTGCATTAAAAGTAATCGTAAATAATTCGTGATACTTTCCTGTATACAATATCAATTCGGCTAACATCTAATTATTATTACATCAGTTATTAGTTTTTATATAAATTCTTATTTCGGACCGAAAAATTCACAAAAATGATATGCTGTGTCTGATTTTATTATATAATTTTTTCATGATAATAATACAATTCTTGATAATATTCCTATTTTATAATATGTTTGTTATTTTTATATTAAAACTCGTAAATTAATTTGTATTTATTATTAAATGAAAGCGAGCGAGATAAATTTTCTGCTACTCAAATTCGGAGTGGTAGAGAAATGTTTTGCAAAGTAATGACACTTATTAAACAAGATTTCGCCATTAATACAACCATTAACGGCTGGTTCAGGAGTCGTGGCTAATGCTCGAACGACTCATTAAGAGAAACTTTCAAATAATAAAAGTTGACAGATATCGCTGCATAAAAAATCAGATAGAAATAAGAAAAATATTCTATTATTTTCGGTAGTTATTATTAAGATTTTTCCTCATATTTTACGCATAAAATCAAGCGAAATATCCTGTCCTTTGAAAAATTTTACAGCACGTCATCTATACTTTAAAAAGCAGACATACGTATTTTACCCGAAAATTGCCTATAGGCACGTCTATCGATGCTATTAAATACGAGTTTTTCATATCGTAATAACATTTCGATTGTCCGTTAACAGCAACTCACGACAGAAAACATTTGTAACTGATAACAGGTAAATATTTTTAACTAATTTTACATTCTACAGTCTTAATAAAGTTAACTTTATCAATAAATTTTTACTAATAACTTAAGTTATTTCAATTTAATAGAGTAAAATTTTATTCATGTTTTAAAATAGTTTCAATAATTTTTGGTCTTTCCACAAATCATAATCAAATAATGAAAGTTGATTGCGTAAGAAAAACAGTATCGTTCCTTTTTCGAAAATTAGGAAGATTCATCGGTCTTCATCCGTACTACTTTATCCTATTACCTGTTTTAATAACAGCAACATTTTCAGTGTTTATCTTTAACATAAACACAATCGAAAACATCACTAAATTGTCATTGGCAGATTCAGGAAGAGTCTTTAATACTAAGAAGTTTATTGACAAAACATTTCCTTTTAATACATCGAAATTTTTTGATCCGTTAGGCTTTACGACTATTCCAAAATGCGTGTTTGTGGTGTTTACAAATAAAGATGGCGGAAACATGCTACAAAAAAATGTGCTGCTAGAAATTAGTCGGGTAGATAAATTAATTAAGAATATAACAATCAATGACGCTGAAAAAGAAATTGGATATTCGGATCTCTGTGGACGTGTGAATCAAAAATGCTTTGAAAATCCCATCATAGAAATCTTACCGGAAATTGATAATATAGTGCAGAAAAAGAAGAGATTGAAGTATCCATTTGATATTGATCCGTTGACATACTCTTATAAAATTTATTCTCTCAACTTCGGAGGTGTCATCGAAGATGAGAACGATGTTGTTCAAACAGTAAGTGCTATGAGATTAGTGTATTTTTTCGACGAAAGCGACGAGAATAAACTTAATCTCATAGAAAAATGGCGAGCGGCGGTTTACAATCGTATAAGAAATTATCGTTTTGAACATCTTCTGTGTTTCGGCGATTCTAATTGGTTGTTTGAAGAGCGAAATCTGCAGTTGGTTGAAAATGTAAAACCCATGATCGGTGCACTGGTTGGATTTATTTCTGTGTTTACTATTGTAACGTACATGAGCAACAATTGGGCCAAAAGCAAGCCAGTTCTTGGCGTGGCGAGTGTGGTATCGGCTGGACTAGCCGTGGTTACTTCTTTCGGTTTAATGTCTGTTATAGGTACAGAAAATTCTATTTGGAACATTGCCATTCCTTTTTTGGTTCTGGGTAAGTTGTTATTCATAATTGTATTTAATTCACTGGTGCTTTATAATTCTGTGTTTTGTGAAAATTCTCTTGTTGCAGTAACCGAAATAGACGATGCTTTCGTATTGTTAGCGTGTTGGAGAACATCGAACCCCAAGCATAAAGTACCGAAACGCATGGAAGAAACGTTCGCCGAAGCCGGAGTTTCTATAACATTAACGTCGTTGACTAATTTGTTTTCCTACTGTATAGGAATGATGGCATCTATTCCTCTCGTAAGAATGTTCTGTTATTATTCCGCAACTAGCATAGCGTTTACGTTTTTGTATCAGGTGACATTTTTTGGTGGGTGCATGGCGTTATCGGGATACAAAGAAGAAAAACAGCAATCACTTCGACTTAATTTAGGTAAGGTCATTCATTTTCCTTGTCTTGACTACCATTGGTTAAAAATTCAGATTTTGTCAATCATTGTTTTATAAAATATTTTTTGAATATTCAACACTATAACGTTCATTTTTAATAACTAAATACAGTAGACTTCCCTATAACGCGGAGATACTTTCCTCGTTATACGAATTTCGCGTTGTAGGAATCCTTAAATACGTGAGCCAATCACAGCCAGACACGTGTAAAGTTTACGGGCTACGGCTGTTTAAAAAGTTTTTTTCCATAAAATTAATCGATTCTAGACTAATTCGACTTAACATTTCCAAAACACGTATAATTTTTTGGGAATAATCCGTATAAACTATGCTATAAACAAAAAATTGTAGAATTACTTACCGAGTGTGTACCGTTCGACGTTGCCATTGTTTAAGCTTGTTTTCGTCGCGGACCAGCGCACCAAACGGCGGCCGCGATTTCTGATAAGTTATTTTTCTGCGCAAACTTCGTTGAACTTTAAAGACATCATTAATATAAATAATTTTTATGGCCGTTGAATTAGAAATGTTTTTTTTACAAGAAATGTATAAAATTACAGTGCTGTATTAGAGTTACGGTACCTAATTTGCATACTATACAGACGATACTAAACTCAATTACTCGCCTAAACTTTCCGTAACGTGGCGCTAGACGGCGGAAAGTAGTTCGGCATTCGGATAATGCATTAGAAGCTGTGATATTTTTCACTTTTTTATCAATTGTATATCAATTATAACAGATATTTTTTACATTTGCAAAAAATATTGGTGTATTTGTCAGTTTATTAATGTTAGTAAAATTGCTTTAATAGAAAGTATAAATAAAGCAATTTTCTAGCTGCTTCGAAATGAACGATTTACTGCTTTTATTTTCACTTTTTTAAATTATTCGAGTTTTAGACTGTAACTGAGTTTACAATTATGCAAACATTTTTCGAAGTTAAATACACGTGTTCTTTTGATCGTTCGTGTCTTATTTGAGTAGTTTTTCTGTTAATTAATAATATACCATAATTTGAAATTTCTTAAGCTTACAGATATGTGAGATCGGTGATTTTTTGGTTATTAAAATCGATTTTTAATGGAAATGTTTTAAATCTTCTGTAATCTTGTCTTATTTATTTGATTCACTAACACAAGGTGTGTTTCTATCTGCCAAGTGTTGAAATAGAAACACATCTTGTGTTACTGAATGAAAGGAATGTTTTAAGTAAAGATTTGTCACGATGGTTAGAAATAACATTGCATCGAACACGGATTGAATGACAGCTCGACTATCAACAAATTAATGGAAAATTTAACAGGCGGTTGCAAAACTATAACATCCGATAATGAAAGGAGAGAAAAAGGAACTCCATGACGTCAACGAAAGTCGTCTCGGAGCTCGCACGCCTGCGAAAGATACCTTTGCAATATAAACAACCGAAGATCACGTGAGGAAATTCCCAAGATTTTCGTATAAAAGTTGAGACACCAGAAGTCTCGGGCATTGGTCATAATGAAGGCGTTTTGTCACAAGAAAGTGCGGTTGTCATTAGAAAGTACCATAAAGTCGTATAGAAGTGCGTTGTTGTGTTTGACCGAGGAGAAGATTTGCTCTCCATACTAAGAGGATCAGCCCATCCATCACAAGAGAACGGAGCATGACTTGCCGCAAGACAACGCCATATACAACGTCAAGTGCTCTCTGAAGTATTTTATTAGAAATTGATGTAATCTCTCCCTCTTAGCTGAGATTAGGGCATAATCCGTGTGTGGCAAGCACGCGTATCGCTAGCTACATAAGGTCTATTCTCCACCATCTAATGTCAGTTCACATTACTAATCGCGCTACATCTATATCCACTCAGCAGTGACAGACGAGTATAGTCGTCAAGGGCGATCGTGTGGCAGTGGTGAGCGATGACTATAGTCGCAAAAAAATTCATACGAAATACCTGGACCATTTCGTAAAGTCGTAGAATTTTTACGAGTAGTCGGATTCTCCAACTTTGTTTTGGAATATCTTTTAGTTCACGAGAAATTACAATAAAAGAAAAAAAAGTAAAATAAATATGAAATTTTAGAGGGCCATCTATCCACATAAATCGAATTTAAACCTCCCGCCATCATCCGATTGGTTAAAAAAAATTAATATTGCTAATTGGCTCGCGTCAGAAAAAAGTAGGTGCGACTACCGTAAATCACGCTATCGCGAGAGCTCCGATACAACCCGGAAAAGCCGATTATATACGTCATCAGTCTAACGATCCTTGTCTGACCTACTTTTTTCGAAATCAACATTAGAGTAAGACGTAGTAAGACGTACTAATTTATAGTAAAAAGATCTTCTTTAATATTCGTAGTACGTTGTAAAGTTTGAATTTTAATTTAATAATTACTATTTAGTTCGGAAACATTAAAAATATATAATATCATTAAGTAGGAGAATAACATAGAACTTTATTTTTTAGTATAATTTAATTTACAAAGTCAAAAGGTCGTATATCGTAACATTACGAAAAAACTAGATCGAAACAAAGTATAGCCCTCCAAAGATGCGCCTACGTCACATCCGGTCACGTGACTCCGCTCCCAAAAGGGACGGCGTCACGTGGCCGAATTTTTTTTTTTCGGTTTTACCCATGTCAGTGTTGAAAAAAAATCGTCACCTCCCCCTTCCTTAGCCCCCAGCGCGCGTCTCCCCCTGGCACGCGCCCGGCGGCCCGAGTATCCCGCCTGCAACCTTCCGGAGTCGCCCTCTGTTGCCTGTAAATACAAATATCTATTTTATTACACTTCTTACCTCAGCCGGGGATCGAACTCCGGTCCCGGCAGGCGCCGATCCACTTCTCTCCTCACCGGCCTGCCAGGTCGCTCTGCCAGAAACACTTCGGAACTCATACTTGAGCCGTGCTAGGCCGAGGAGCTCACTGCGCATGACAGGCCCTCCGGGCGGCCCCCTCGGCCACACAGATTAAGCGCGCCGCGCCGCGCGGCCACCCCCGCCGTTCAGGTGCAGCGGGCCCGTCGCGCGGCCAATGGACGGGCGCTCTTGGGTCACTTGACCTACTCCCGGCCCACCGAGGTTTCATAAGCCTTCAGGCCGCCTTCGGGCATTTTCGGCCGGTGTTTGTTACCGCATTAGTTAGGAGTACAAGTCAGTAAATATTCAACAGTTGTGATATTCCAGTAAATATTCGATATTTGGGTACTTATGGGTTAAGAGGAGGCCAGTTTAGTGGAGACGCACGTTCTAACCTAACCTCTTCTAATAAATTAACATAATTATTACCAATTAATTACCGAAGGATACTTGTACGCGAACCCTGGATTATATGCGATTGTTCGAATAACATCGGGCGATCCCATCTTCGTCGTCGTCGANATACGTTTAATTAAGTCGGGGAAGGTAGGAAATCGCAATAAAAAAACGTAATTTTTTAAAAATATTTAAAAATATACGGCCAGCTAGTATTCACCCTACTATAAACCCTTCGCCTCCTGTAAGTTTTATGAGAATGTCCCGCGAAAGACGAAAGCAGCTGTTCTCAAGGTCATCCAGCTGTAAACACAATTACCCATCTATGTCATATTTCGTGCAAAGGCTAGGCGAGAGAATGGAAAATAATCTTGAAGCTTTCTCTTCAAAATTAACGCATTTCTTTCGTTTTTTTTCAGTTTTTGGTATTTTCTATGTTTAATTAAAAATTCTAAAAAAGTAGGAACAAAGGGGTTAAATTATTTCTGAAATTGAATAAGAGAAATTGCACATGGGTCTCTTTGTAAACGTTTTCTTACTGCTTAATCCACCAAATGCCTGAGGAGTTATCATTTCTATAATTCCTTTGCTCATATCATTAATTAATTAATTAATTTATTTATTTATTTCTAATTTATCATTTTATTTTTATTGCATTACATGCTATAGTACTTTAAAAATTGAATTAAAATAATATGAAGTAAATTTTTTTAATAAAATGTGTAACTTATGTAATTCATAAAATTAATGTTTATTTTCAGAAAATAACGAAGTAGTTTCCGAAGATAAAAATTTTTCTGATGAGCCAACAATGGCATATTTTAGAGATAAGCTAGGCAAGATTCTATCTTCGGATGTAATGAAGATAATAGTTATTATAATTTACTTTCTGAATTTATCATTTGGAATATGGGGGGCTTTAACAATAAATTATGGTATAGACATCACAACGTTATATCCTGAAGAATCGCCGGTAACAAAGAGTATGAAAATATATTATAATAGTTTTAGTCGTTATACTTTCCCTTACCAAATAGTTATTAACACTACATTAGATTATTCGGATGTAACAGTGCAAGATTCCGTAGACAAACTACTGAGCAAATTTGAACGTCTCCCATATATTGCGGATTCCCGATTTACATTATCATGGTTAAAATATTACAAACAATTTCAAAATCATCCGATTGCAAAATATTCGTTACGTGGTTACAACATGTCTGTCAAAGAAGATTTCTTGAGTGGACTTCGCGATGTTTTTCTTGAATTTAAAGCGGCACAACAATTCTCCAGTCATATTGCCTTCAATCAGAATGGAACCGATATTTCGAGTAGCAGATTCTTTATTTTTGTCAATGATACGTTAAGTTCGGCAGCCGAAGTAGAGATTTTAAGTAATTTGTGGAAAATTGCTGACGAATTCGACTTTCCTGTTCTGATTCACGGAGCATTGGCTCCTCTATACGAACAAGGAATCATCATTAATCGTACAATTAGAGATTTATTTTGGATTACGTCTGTTTTAATAATGGTATTCTTTTTGTTGTTTATACCAAACATTGTTTCTGCTCTTCTTGTTGCGATATCGGTAGCATCTACCATTGTAGAAACTCTAGGTTATATGTCCCTGTGGGGTGTCAACGTGGACATCTTATCTATGATGAGTCTGATATTGTGTGTGGGTTTCTGCGTGAATTATCCGGCGCATATAGCTTACGCTTATGTTTGTTCTGTGTCTGAAACTCCGAGCGAAAAGATGAAAGACAGTCTCTATCGTATTGGCTATCCGATATGTCAAGGATCTTTGTCTACTATTTTAGGGATTTTGTTTGTATATAGAGATATGTACGCTTTCATTACATTTGTGAAAATCGTGTTTCTTATTGCTATAGAAACTGCATTTCATGCACTGATTTTCATTCCGGTTGTTCTTTCACTTATATACTCTATTTTTTCTAAATTTAATGTTAAACAACAAACCCAGGTGGAGAACAAAAATTTCTTGTGAAAAATGAAAACTACTTTTAGTTTAATTTGTAATGAGAGTTATACAACTTAAGTGATAGGAAAATTATACGAAAGTGTTATACAAAAATTATAATATTTAAAAATATAGAACTTTTTGATAAAAAAATTGTAGCAGCTGTTGCTACACACGCAGTTTTAAATGTTTCCAGGAAAGTTATACAGTACAAATGTTTGCTAGATTTTCATCCCTTGGTGAAAGTTATTTGATATTTACTGGTTTTTGGGTCAATGTTTATTAATATAATTTGCTTTTGTTCACTGTTACTTTTAAGCACTTAAAAATTATTTATATAAGTGTGCACTTAGGTAACTGTTATAGTATATTTGCATAAGTACAATTACAGTCGACCCCCCTATAACGTACGTTCCTATAACGACAATTTTTATAACGTAGCGAAAAAATTGTAGAAACTTTCGTATAACGTACCTCCTATAACGTCGTTTCGCGAGAAGATTGATAGAGTCTGGACCAATAGTGGATGAGCAGCCGAACTACTTACCTCCGACCCTGCGCCACGCTACGGAGCGGCTAAATTGAGTTTGCTATCGTCTGTTTAGTATTATATATAAATTATATATAAATTAGGTACTGTACATATAATTATATATTAATTATATATAAATTAGGTACTGTATATATAATTATATAT